AAATTAATTTTTTTAAATAAAAAAATTTTATTCATACTTCTTTTAAAAAACATATTTCCTTAAGTACATGAACTCAACTTGAGTGTGCCTTAGTTAACACTTGTGAGGAATCATTATCAAACACATCTTTCTCCGTTGAAAACGAATGATTTAACATGATGAAATGCCGGAAACAGAATTTCTAATTCTTTACAGGCGGGTAGATAAGTTGATAAAAAATTTTTTTAATTTAATTAAAGATTTTGATTTTAAATTTTAAGAATGTAACTTTATTAAAATTTATAAGAGAGAGTTTTATTACTGTTAAATCTTGTTTGACTCAAATCTAAATTAGTCAATAATTCAGTAAACTTGTAGATACTGATGGTTCAAACAAAAAAAAAAAAAGCAATTCTAGTCCTTTACGTAATTTGTTAACCAAATTTCAAGAAATGGAGAAAAGTCTTAAGCAGATAAGAAGGGTTTTTCAGACAGTTAGTTAAAGCGTATGAAACACTGTCATTTACCCGTAAAACATGGTCCCCAATGTTCACGGAAATCGGAGACACAATTGCTGACTGTAATTCCACATAGTTGAAAGACGGTTGCGTTACGTTGTAACGTCAAAAACTTCGGGGCGGTGCCGCCTGAGTGCCCGTAGCTTTCATTCAACAGTAAGCAATAATTTGGGCTTACTTCTTTGGAGGCCCAAAATAAGGCGAATCTCGTTTTCATGGCCCAATATCATCCGAAAATTGGACTTTCTAAATTTAGTTCTTTTTCTTTTTTCTCCCCCAACCTTTATATAAAACCCGATTGGGCTTTTGATGAGCCCATTGGAATTCGCTACTGAGAAATGAGAACGGAAATAAAAATGTTCTAAAAATAGCTTTCCTTTTTTTTTTTTTGGGACAAATAATATATGAGATTTATTTTTTATAATTTAAATTTAATTTACAAAATAAAAGTCATTGGATGAAAAGAAATTAGGAGGCCCGTTTTCCCTTCTAACTATTTTAGTTATGTCATTTTTTAATGGTATACACATGCTTTAAAAAGAAGTTTTGAAAATAGAGAATAAATAAATAAATAAATATATATATATATATAAAAAGGGAAAGGTGCACATGAGATGAGAACAGGAATGTGGGCCTCACAAAGTCCAAGGCTGCTGCCACGTGATTCAAACCCATTATCCAGTGTGAGTGTGTGACACAGTGTAAAGAAGGATTGCCGGCTTTTGTCCTCCACATCACATGATTTAGACTTCCCTATGTTGGACCCACTTACCGGATTTTTTTTATACAGTAATTTATTTTAAAATATAAAATTTTAATTAATTTTTATATTTTTATTAATTTTAATTAATAACTTATATATATAGTTTTGATAAGGCTACATATTTATTTGCACCCTACCATTGTTACCTTTGCGTAACATTTTCAAAAATTTTTAAGCTTTTATAATTTAAAATTTATAAGAAAATTTAAAATTATTGACCAATGCAAGATTAGATTTAAATAAAGGATTTGGTGATTAATTTTTAAGTTTTTTTTTATTTTTTTTTAATTTTTAAAAGTTTTTGTTTGGGATTAAAATTTTTGGCCCTTTTTATTTGTAAAAAAAAAAAAGTCTATTATACAAAAAAGAAATTTAAATTTTAGATAATAAAAAATTAAAAAACATTACATTATAATACAATAAAACACAACAGTACAACACTAACAAACAAATGCTAAATCTTCTCCTAAAGTTAAGATCTTTCCTTCTCTAATTTTTCACAAGTAAACAGACATTAACATTATATCATTCCATCCTTCTCAATATCAATTTCAATATCATTTAGCAACACGTCAATGGAATGCTTGAATTGACTAAAGTTGTTGAAAAAAGGGGCCAAGAGCAAATAGATTGAAAGCTTCTTTGAAAACTTCTAAAGGGAAATAAAACAAACCTTTAGAAAAAAAGAAAGCTTGTTGATTTCATGCTCAACACAATACATGGAAAAAGAGTGCCTTTATCCAAGTGCATCGTAGATATCTACGAATCCAAAACCAAAAGTATTTGACCCAAAAGAGAATGTCCCATTAAGCAGCAGATGATATCAGGGTCAAATGGAGGCTGAGGCTCTCCTTCTTGGAAAGATAGCAGGCAACCCCATTAAAGAATTTCGTTGAAAATTTTGATAAAAATGCAGTTTCTTGTTCTGAAAAAATCTTACAAGTTCAAATCTTGACCATATTCCTACACAGTTCATGTACTTCCTCGTATCTCCACATCCTTATTCCTTGCTAGTTATCTTAACATTGCAGTTGTTGTCTGCATTCAGTTCCTCTCTTGATTCTTAATCAAAGTTGTCTTTGGTTTGCTTCATTGTTTCTGTCTAAAAAAAAAAAAAAAAAAGGAGTACAGAGTTAAAGCAGATTGCTTCTTCTGAACAAAGGGTTCCTTTCAAGTCTCTGCATTCTCTTTGCTTTTCAGACATTGCTTCAGTCATTTCAGTTTGAAGTTTTAGTTCAACAGGAACCTGTTTCTTGGATACTCCTATGACATAATGTCTTGTTTTGTCTCACTTTTAGCTGTTTTATGAATTTCTTCTTGAATTTCAATTTCACCTAAAGTAAACAACTGACTTTCCTGTTCATTTCCCCCCACCCCCCCAATCTCTTCCTTAGATGTCTTTTTCACAATTTAAAATCATTAGAATTAGAAACGGAACAGGTGTCTGTTAATGTTTTTTGGGTTGTCTTCTTCTGCTGCCAATGTGATAAATCTGTCGAGATTTCTTTATGAATCTGAGATAGGTGTTACGCTAGAAAGTTGCCAGATGTTGCACAACTTTAGGGTTCCAATGTCATTGTTGTGTTAATTAGAGGGTTCATCGGATCTGAGTCATAGCTGAGAAAGCAAAGTCGTTTTGGTTGTTGGGGTTTTGCTTTAAGTTCACGAGATCACAGGTTTTAAATGAAGTTTGCAGCTTTTGTTTCTTTACATTGATTTCTGTCGGCGCTTCGGTGTTTACAACAGTTCTAGAGGGTTCCTAGAAAGTCCTTAGGATCTGAAACAGAGGAGGAGAGTTTTGGGCATTTCTTGACTTGGTTTTGAAAATGAGGCATTCTGCAGCAGTTTGGGATTACAGAGCTGCAACTGAGATTACAAAGGATTGGAATGGGATCGATCAGGTGGTGCTTCGAAACCCACAGGGGGCTTCAGTCAAGGTCAGATTTTTCAGATTTCTTCATGACAACCTTTGTTCAACAGAAAATTTAAGAATTTGATTCTTCTGCATGCCATAATGGAAATGAATGAATAATTGAAGGTTTGATTAGTATGTTTTAATGCTGTATAGGTTAGCTTACAAGGAGGACAAATCACATCTTGGAGGAATGAGCATGGAGAAGAACTTCTATTTACTAGTAGTAAGGTTTGGTTTCCTTTTACTTTTGGGAATTTGGCTGTGAATTCATTTACTTAACCCAATTATGAGGGAGAATGCTTTTCTTTTCTTTTCTTTCGCTGATTTTTTTTTCTTTTATTTCTCAAATTTAGGCAATTTTTAAGCCTCCAAAATCCATGCGTGGAGGAATCTCTATTTGTTTTCCACAGGTAAATTTTTTTCAGTCTATCTTGTACATCTAATTCAATATCAATTATTGTACATTTTTTTATATAATGAAATTTTATCTTTAATGCTTCTCATAGTTTGGAAACTGCGGATCACTAGAGCATCATGGATTTGCCAGGAACAGGAATTGGACAATTGATGAAAACCCACCTCCTCTGCACCCAAATGATTCCCATGGAAAATCCATCGTCGACCTCCTGCTCAAACCATCAGAAGAAGACCTCAAGTTCTGGCCTCACAGGTATGGTCTCCTGTAGTAAAAGTCTTCAATATCTATCCCCTTCTTATGTACATCCTCAGCTCTCAGTAATCTAAATGTCTACATCCATGCGTTGCTAATGGAGCTTTTGGTGTCTATCCCTCTCCTCAGTTTTGAGCTTCGTCTCAGAGTAGTCCTTGCAGCAGATGGAGACCTGGCATTAATTGCTCGAGTTAGGAACGTAAATGGGAAGCCATTTAGTTTCTCTTTTGGGTATCACACATATCTGCCGGTTTCCGACATAAGGTATGCCATGTTTTTGTTGTTTTGGTGAATTTCAGTCATTGTAGAGAGCATCCAAGAAAGTTGTAGAACGAGCAGTACTTTCTAGATCATGTCTCTCAGGCATCATCATGAAATTCATTTTTGTTGTTGTAACAGTGAAGTGAGGATAGAAGGATTGGAGACACTGGATTTCCTAGACAACCTTTGCCAAAGAGAACGTTTTACAGAACAAGGAGACGCTATCACTTTTGAGTCAGAGGTACCACCAATGCATCCCCCATCCTCTTTTGGTGATCCAGTTCAGATGTTTTTTCTTGATATGTTCCTGAAATGTTTGACAGATGGATCGAGTTTATCTGAGTTCTCCAAATGTCATTGCTGTCCTCGATCATGAAAGAAAAAGAACATACGTTGTGAGAAAGGAGGGACTACCGGATGTTGGTAAGCACTTTAAAGAAAGTGGATTATTAGTAGAATAATGCTTTTTTACTTGAGAACTGAATATCCAAAATGATCAACTTTTATATCTTGTTATATGTCATGCAGTGGTATGGAATCCATGGGAGAAGAAATCAAAAGCGATGACTGATTTTGGGGATGAGGAGTATAAGCATATGTTGTGCGTTGATGGGGCAGCAATTGAGAGGCCAGTCAATCTGAAGCCAGGGGAGGAATGGACAGGGCGGTTGAAGCTCTCAGTCGTGCCATCCAGTTTCTGCAGTGAGCATTTAGATCTCCAGAGGACCGAGAAGAGAGGCCACTGGATGAGTATTTAGATGAAGATATCATTTATCAAGGGTTCTAAGGATGTGGGATTGAATTAGCCTAGGAATTTTAGGAACAGTTCAATGTTGCTCTATATCTTAGCACTGAACTGAATGTGTATAAATTATCAGTTCTCGTATCAAGTTTGCAAATTGACAAGGTCCTGTAGTGAGGATAATCAAGCCTATGTTTTTCAAGAATGGCTGCCAGAACTATTTGTCTCTTTTCCAACTGAAAATCTGTTTCAGAATCAAATAAAGTTATCTTTCTTTGCCTAACATTGGTCTGCTCAAGGAAAAAAAATCTAGCGTATCACGGGAATATGCATGCATATCCGTAATGCCAAAGACTTTTTCCTGCGTAATACATGAAGCAAACATTGAAGCAAGCATGGCAAGCTGAATTAAAAATATCATTACAGTCAAGGAAATTTCCAGGGGATTTGTATACAGAACAGTATCCCTTAAAAGAATTGAGTCTCCATTATAAAGTATTGCATCCAATACGCATCCCAATACAGATTTCTCTATTCAGCTATGGAGATGGAGGAATTTTGATTTCCAAGATCTCTGGAAAAAAGGGCTCACCAAAATAAAATCAGGTTGAGTAGTAGAGAAAACAGCATTATCTGGATACATGTTTGATTCCACAGAATTATGACTCATATTCAAGTAACCAAGCTGGATTGACCTTCAGAAATTTTGACAACATGTGGAATCATGTGATCGAGCACTCATTATAGTTCACATGGAATAAACAATCAAAAACCCTTTTTGGTGCTTATTTTCCTAGCAGAAAAGAAAAAGTTTTGGGCTTCAGAGTGAAAGCAAATAAAACAGAGGATCAAAGTCACAATGCATAATCAAGTTCAACTTCAAGGAGTATTTTCCATTTTCCAGCATTTTAGGATACACATCCAGATGTCTGTTGGCAGGCACAATGCTAGGTTGTGCTAGGATACATTTTCACCTTTCATACCCAGACGAACTATAAACCTCGACGATATTCTAGTTGGTTGGTATTCTCTAGTAATACCTGCAGATAAGATACAAGAAAAAAAAAGAAAAAAAAAAAAGAATCCTCCATTGAATCCCTGCAACAGTGATAAGTTCAAAGGATGAATTGGGAGATAAAAGGGGAATCAAGCACATTACCTCTCGAATGTAGTTTGCTATTGCCTTGCAGCCTTCAATGGCAAGTTGCATAACATTTTCAAAGATATCCACCGGCAACTTTGCATCCATCTACATTAAATAAACTTGAAGAATGACTCACTAGGATATCACTTAGACTCTTTATCACACACAACTACAAACAGAGAAAAGTAAATGAGAAAATGGTCATTCAGAACTTGAAGAAGAGTGACTTTGTCCAACTTAGGTAAAATTCCCAAAGTGACATCAGGGCCTCCTGCGCTATCTTCAGTGTAGTTCAAATCTGTCCATAATATGAAAAATACCAATTGGGCCAAGCACCCAGATTTAACAAAATACAAAAGCAAAATCTTAAATGTCCAACGAGGAAAAACAGAAAGTGAAAGGAAAGAATTGGAGATGTACCAAGCAGAGGAGTGCTATTTAGATATCCAGCACTGCAGGAAGTAACAATATCACGCATTGGGATTCCAGCATCTGCAAGGGCTAAAGTTGCAGCATTGATACATGCAGACCTAGTTCCTGCAGTCACCAACCCTCTTTATAAGCTGTTCAGTTGCCCTAGCCAACCTCATGCTTCATTTCTTATACAAAAAGAATAAGCAAATGGTAGAATGAATCTAGATACTAAGTATGACAAACATGCTAGCATGTAACCTATGGTACAAGATGTGCTGAGTAGAAATAGACAGCTATTTTGGCAAGCTTCCCTGCAAAATAAGTTATACTTTGATATATAAATGCAGGTCCATGCATGCATAAGTTCTTAGTTTGACATGAATTCAAAATATAACATGGAAAAGACAAATGGGAAAAAAAAAATAATCATCTGGTCTAAGGATAGATACAGGTCTGAACTTACCTCCATCTGCTTGAAGAACTTGCACAAAAATATCTATCTGCAAGAAGAAAAATTTAAAAATAAATTACCAAGCTTCAAGAAGAGAACCAACCAATGACCAATTTTTGTTTTGTGAGAAGAACTAATATTAAACCTGAGATCGAGGCATTAAATGAGTCAAGATGCATGCTTCCATAGTCTGGCGGATGACTAGAGATATCTCCGTTGACCGCCTGAGTGCAACAAATAAACAACCATAGAAAAAAGCAAGAAGAAAGTGTCCAACTGAAACATGTCTCAATTTTATCATGCATAAGTCATATTTGCATTCATCACAAACAAAAATAGACTAATATGAAAAGCAGGCTGTGCATTCACTTAAGCCTATCCAAAATGTAGCTAATCAGATTCACACTAAACAAATTATAGTGGCAGTTCAAATCAGGAAACATGAAGAGCAAAACAAGAAGCATTAACGAAAAAATGATCACCTGTCACCCTTTAGTTTTCTCATGCGATCTCCTGTACTAAAATTAGCCATACTATATTCGCAGCGCACCTGAAGTACATATACATTAACTGAGAACTAAAATTCACAAGTCATCAAAATCCAACACACAACCTAATAAATAATTACCACTTACCAGTGCTTGATCACTAATTTGCTGGCTCTTGTTTTGAACCTGAAAAACACACAACATATTTCCTCAAAAGCATTCATAAATTGTCATAAAAGTTCAAAGTAGAATTTATAGAGCGAGAAGGGTATTTCTCTGTCAAACAGAATATGCATGTTTCTAGTAAGGGGTAGAAACGAGGTACCTCTCTAGGACCATAAACTGCAGCAATAACTTTAGTGTTTCCCATCTCAAAAACAGAAGAACTGGCAATTTAAATTTGAAAAGAAAGAAGAAAGCTTTAGCAATAACAGAGTACATATAACAGAAATTTGTGGCAGAGGCATTGTCTAAAGGTAGAGATACATACCCATCTGCTTTAGCCACGTTACCAATCTGTGCACGAAGCTGTCTCATCTGGTGTTGAGAAAAGCAAACAGAAAAACACCGAAGCTTAGAATAAAATGGGAAATCCATCATAAAATGTGAAATAAAATTGGTAGAAAAAGAAGAATAAAAAAAAAAGTTAAGCAAAGAGAAGGAGGTATATACTTCCATGGGGCGGCGGCCATCTATACGGAGACCGTCGTGGCTTACGTATTCCATCTAGGACTGTTGATATTGGTGACGCAAACCGACTACGGGATATGGAACAGAATTTCGGGAAATTTTGTCTACTTGGCCCGTAGCTCACCGGCGATATTGGGTTTCAAGTAGAAAACAAAATGAATATAGAAAAAGATGGAGGCGGAGGAGAAGGGGTGGCTACCTGTCGTCTTGCCTCGCCGGTGGTAGAAGAAACAAGGCGAGGCAGAAAAGGTCGCGCCCTGAAACTCCGGTGGCTCTGTTTTCTGGAAACTGAAGGACTGATTTTCGAATTTGAGCCGAAGGCCCGATTTTTACTTTTGGGTTTGTCTTTACAAAGTTTTGGGCTGGCTAAACAAAACCAGGTTTTTTTTTTTTTATTTTTTTACGGCGGGTCATAAAAAACCTTGAAATGAAATTTTATATGAATATTTTGTTTTACCATTTAAACTATATTAAATTATAAAATATAAATGTTTAAATAGAAAAAGAGAGTTTAATATTAAGAAGCTATCTTTCAATTTAAAAATAATTATTTTATAATTTGACATAATTCAAATTGTAAAATAATTTTTAAATTTTATATCATGGATAAGAAAAGAGATTTTTTAGAAAAGTTTTCTTCATCATGGAATACAAAAAAATAAAAATAAAAAGACATCAGACATGAAAGTTGTACTAACTTTTATGGGTGGTGCTATAGGGACAATATTTTTATATAATATTTTTATATGATTTTTTTATATAATTTTTTTATATAGTTTTCACATATTATTAAATAGATGAATGCATTTAATATCACAGGTTTTACATGAATTAAAAAAATCAATTATTTAAATAAAATATTAAGTTGTACAAAAAAGTGAGATAAAAAAAGAGTTGTACAAAAATCATTTCTCAACTTTTATTATACATCAAATGATATAATTACAATATTGACATCCAACCCCTCTCAAGTTACAACTCACCCAAACTCCAAATACATTAGGCATTGAACCCCACAAAGCTCCCCCAGTATTAAAATATACACTTATACACAATAGGATGAGATAGATACCATATCCCTTTCACGCTTATCCTTGCTTTAAGAGGCAGTCACAGTCCAGCATTACCCTCTACCAGGTTGAGTTTTCCTGTGTGTTGTTGAGATGTCATGACCCACACCTCTTGTTCTACAGACAAAACCATGATGTTGCACCTTAATTCTTTTCCTTTAAATTAATAATCATTTTTTCCCATCATGGAAATTTTGTTCGAACCATACCTTTCACCGAGTAAAATAAAATCAATGATACATATGTTATAACGTATAATTTTGTATATTCTTCTCTAATAAAATGATTCATAAAAGATGGACAATTTCGTTCTTAAATAAAATAAGATAAAACCTTTAGATTTTAAACATGTATGTAAAATGAATAAAGTAATGAGAAAAAATTATCTTAATAAATAATGACAAACAACTAAATCTAATCCCAGAATAAAACTTTATATGTACCTCAATTACATAAGAACAATCCCAAGCTTAGACATGGATACAAATTAGCTGTGTTATGAATGGCATTTACCAAGTATATATACATTGAACGGTGTGATGAACTATTAAATTATAAAATAATTTTCAAAAAGCCAAATTCTCCATAAAGAATCCAGTGTAAATACGAATCTTCAAGAATTGGATCGTGCCGCCTGCCTCAAGTAAAGAATCCCATCATTTTGGCCCTTTTTTCTTTTTTTTGCAATTAAACATCAATTTTTTTTTTCTACCTTCAAATTCTATGCATGTATGGTAATCCTGCATTAGGAAAAAAGTAACAATTTCATCAATATAGTTTTCCAAGCGATTTAATTATTTAAAATGATTATCAGGAAAATATACTAATTGATCTTACCATCTTAGCAAGGTGATATCACACTTGGGCATGGTACTGCCGTCGAGCTCCTTTAAGGTGGCTCCACGGCACGTAACAGTCACCCCAAACTTGCCAAACTTCATCGCGCCCACACCCACCCCCACCTTCGTCCTAACCTCCACCTTCACCGCCAAATTCTTGCTTCCAAACCGAGCCAGGAGCCTGTCTCCGGTTCCTTCATTCACCTGCTGGTCATCCACCTTTGTCTCTATCTTCAAACTCGTCGTGTTCTGATTCTTCTGCGTGAACGCAGGCAATCTCGCTGTCCCCAACTCGGTTTGGTCGTCCCCCTCCCCCACGCTCACGTCCACCTCCGTCGCACCGTAATAAAACGATATCTTCTCGTTAGGATTCCTAACCTCAATCCTGGTCACCGTTTGCGCGTCCAGGTACTGCCCGTCGGTTCTGGACGTGACGTTGAAACGGGTGAACCGGAATGACTGGATGTGGAAGGTAGGAAGCTTCGGGTCGAACCAGAAGAAGAAAACAATCCCGCATATTACAATGAGAATGACAAGGATCAGAAGAAAAACACAGCAACAGTAGTAGCACGCAGGACAACAGTTCCGGCGCTTCTTCTTTGGGTTGAAAGAAGGTGGAAGTGCCACTTTTCGCGGTACCGGTTTAGCAGGTCTGGCCGGCAAGCCGTTCGGGTCTCTAAAACCGGGTGGTTTTTGCAGTACCGGTATTGGTGTTGCGGTTGCCATATATATATATATATATATTTCTTGCTTTTGAAATTCCGATGCTCTGTTTTCCGGCTACGAGAAAATGAAAGAATTTATGGACCCTTTATGATTGAATAAATTAAGCAAAAAAAGTGCATTCACACAGATCTACCAATTCTTGATTCATTCTAAATTAATGACGAAGAATTTAAGAAATTACATTGGCCAATAATTAAAATTATTAGAACAGAAAGCAAGCGATACAAAAAAAGAGTTAATTTCCTCTATATTTTCATGAAAATGGGTCTCCAGCAAAAAGCAAGCAGAAACTTGAATGCAATTCCAGGAAGATTGCAGAGAGGAACAAACCTTAAAGAAATCAACAACACGTTTGGCGAGATTCTATGGAAGGAGGTGCCACCGACGTCTTATATGATGGAGAGATCTGAGTTTAGGAGGAAAAAGGAGATTTGATTGGTGATGTGAGTGGGGCATAATTGCAGGGAATCAGATCCATGCATTGAAAATGTGAGAAAAAAAAAAAAGGAGCAAATTAGGGTTTGGGAGAGAGAGGTTGGTTCGTCTCTTATTCAGACAGACAGGCGGACGGCAGGGATGGATTCCCGCGAGATTCACGCGCTGTGTTTTACTACATTTACATGCTAATAATATGTGTAAAATTGGCCCAATTCCTTTTCCTCTTCAAGTCTTCTACAGGAATGTGAGGTGACTGTAGGATCTTGAAAAAGCAGTGGCGGAAGGATGCAACCACTGCAAAATCTGAATTCTAATAACTTGGACTTGGGAAAATATGAATTCCGAGTCTCCATTGAAACTGTACAACAAAGATCGGAGAAAGATTTTAATATCTAAAACTCACCTTTCACCTTTGAGTTCATGTCATAAAGTTAGGTGGAGTATACATTACATTATATATTTTAATATATGTATATATAAAAGAAGGAATGATATATATATATATTTTTATATATTATATTTATATTAAATTTTAATTGTTTATTATTTATTCTTAATAGTTAATATTTATTTATATTTATTAAAAATAATTTTTCTTTTTATTTTTAATAATCACTACAAGAATGTAATAAAAAAAGTATCAACATTTTAAGCGTCAATCATGAAATTTTGACGTAAATATATGTCATTTGCGTTAACATTATTCATATAAAAAAGTTTGTCATAGACAAATTTTTTAATGTCAACTAAAAAACATTAGTGTAAATATTGTTGACATAAATAGGATCAAAAGTCTACCAAAACCTAATCTATTGTGGTTAATATTTCGGAAAAATTATAAAAATGATAAAAAGTAACTGGTAGAATAATATCTTACTGGTATGTTACCATTTCATTGTGTTTTATACTTCAAACTTATTTTAGTAGAGTGGGGGTCAATAATTCTTTATCATTACATCAAAACTTGTGTTAATATCATTTATTAGTATTGCCTTCGAAACCAAATCTAGGTTTTTTTGTCTTGCATTTTTTTGAAGCTCTTGTTTACTACTCCTCCTTTCTCTTTCATGAAAGCAACGAGGACCACTATTTATTTCAAATTTTAACCATATTGATTAAAGTTTAGTCTTATAAAAGAGATAAAAGGGTAAGAAAATTATTTCTATAAATTTTTTTTTCTCAATTTGCATGTTTAGATGCCATATCTAACTATTTGTCCTCTTTTTTTTTTTTTTTTTTTTCTCTCTCTCAAAACATTCATGTTCTGTACTGCTGTCAATGTCAGTGATCTCACAATACCTGCCTATTGCTTTAGTATTGCAATCTGTCCACAAATGGACTGGATTATGGTCGTCAAATCTGAGAGATGTTGAAATCCTTGTTTATTTTAGATAATAGGATACTGATGGTTTCAAAACTGCAATTAGTGCAACTCAACTGTAATTAGAAGCTTATATTTGCCTCATCTCTTTGCTGAGCAGGCAATGGAAAAAAGGAGGGAAAGCCCAAACCAATTCCTCCTGGTGAGGCAACTGCAGCTTCAGATAAGGTGATGAATGCAACCGCCTCTCCTGTTAAGTCCATTGCACCTGGAGTTTCTCCCGGAATGACCACCGCATTGGAGCTTAGGAACCCCCCCAGTCCTACCAGTGTTCCTCAACCTTGTTCTATTTTGCCTCCTGAAGTTTGGATGCAGGTATAGTTTGGAATTATAAAAGAGCTTTTTGCGATGTCAAAATGGGCAGGAAGATAGTTGCTAATTTTATTGATATTTACTTTAGAATGAACGGGAAATGAAGCGGGAGAGGAGGAAACAGTCTAATCGAGAATCGGCTAGAAGATCAAGGTTGAGGAAACAGGTATAAGAACCATGTCAAATGGTTGTTCCTCCTATGCTTAAATCCTGCTTTTCTTTGTTTGATCCTTTCTGTTAATTTATAATTGATTGTCTAAAGATAATACTTTATATTCCTTCTGTGTAGGCTGAGACTGAAGAACTTGCACGCAAGGTTGAATCCCTGAATACTGAGAACAGGGCACTCATATCTGAAATAAATCAAATGACAGAGAAATCAGAGAAACTTAGACTAGAAAATACTACGTTAGCGGTGGGTTCTTGTGGCTTCTTCTTTACAGCTTTAGTGGCTTTCTGTTTTTGTTCCTTCTCCAATTGATATTCATATTTCTGATGGGAGTTAAATTATCTGTTCTCTTGAATGCCCATACTTCCTCCAATGACTTATGAAGCAGTTTAATATACAGGAGAAACTGAAAAATGCTCAATTAGGACACACAAAAGACATCATTTTGAAGAATGTCGATGATCAGACAAGGGCTCCACCTGTTAGCACAGAGAATCTGCTCTCTAGGGTTTCCAATTCAGGCTCTGTTGATGAAAACATCAATGAAGAGGGTGAGATGTATGATAAGAACTCCAACTCAGGTAACAAGTTGCATCAACTCCTGGATGCGAGTCCCAGGGCTGATGCGGTTGCTGCTGGCTGATTAAGAAACTAGTTTAATTAAGGTATTCTTTTATGTTGAATTTTAAGGTAATGATGTAGCTTTTGGCATAATCTGAAAAGCCCATAACTACTGCTGACCACTGGCAGGGGGACGGATGGTTTTTTAGGAATCAAAACTGTCCGTTGGACCCTTTTACTTGTAATTTAGCTCCTGTCAGTGCAGGACTGATGTATTTTATTTGTAGACGGAGTGGTGAGACTGGACCTTGAAACTTGAAAGGTTATGTATATTAATGATGATTTTAGAGATTAGGAAAGGTCTTGGGAACCTTGATTTTGTAATTTGATGTTTGTGCAATTTTATTAACTGGAGATTTGGACTTGTGGTAATGTGTGGAACCAGAAATGCTATACCCAAAACATCTTATGTCTATCTCTTCATCAGCCTATCGTTTGTACTTTTTCATATTTGAGAGCTGAGAGTGTATATCTAAGGT